TTAGATAATTATTATTTAATTCAATTTGTAAAAGAGCTTTTGTCAATAAAAAAAAATGTCAAAAAGTCTCCCACCTCGAAACTATATAAATATCTTCATATTAAAGCTGCTTGATTTATGTTTTTTTTTTTTGTTTTGCTTTTTTTTTTGTAATATTTGTAATATGAGCTCTACCGTAATCGAGTCTTCGAACATTTTCGAAATGAGTTTAATACAAGTCTAAAGCTACCTCTTAATATCACAAACAACCTTCTAGTGGAATGTAAATATAAATGTGAACTATACCAGAACTACTTGTGCTTGTTCCGCTATTCAAGCGGCTTTTCTTCTCCGAGTCCACCATTTCGTAATGCATCTGATGGAGAATAAAGCGGTTCCAATTCTACAAATAAAAATCAGTACGTTGAGCGATATATTTGTATTAACGCAAATACGGCTTACCTGTATAAGACTTATTAAATTAACATTGGACGAACGATCGGACAGTATAAGGCCCAGTGCTGATGCTTCAGGCACTGTGCGAAATGAACGTAGGAAATTACTGGCCTGACATGGAGAGGCAGCTGCGAAAGGATGGAAACAAAATTATACTAAAAACAATACTTTCGAAATGGCGCATATTTATAAGATTTACCCGAGCTTTTATCCAACATATTAAACAGAAAACCGAGTTCACAGGACAAACAAAACTCCTTTTTGCAAGAATGTTCAATTAACTTTTGACGTAGTGGTTCAATAAAATATAAAATCTGAAATATATGCAAGTAAGTAGTTTTAAAGCGATCCTATGGTGTTGAGCGCATGCGTAGCGATTTATGTTTACCTGTAGCATGGAATTACAATAGGAATTTGGTAAGGTAGCCTCGAGACCAGCAAAGCATGTCTGATTGTGCTGTTCAAAATCGAAATCTTGCGTACCCAACTTGGAATATTTCAGTTCCACTTTGCGATAACGTCGCGGTATGATTTTAACACCACTCTCCGTCGTTTTTGTCGAACTGTTCACGCCATTACTGTTTGCAGCCAAACTATTTGGTGTATCCAATATGTAGGGAATCTGATTGCGTCGTACCGTACGTGGATTTGGTGAATAGCCGATGGGGCCTTGCATTTTCATACTATTTAACACATCCGCCTCAATCGGTTTCGGTCGTCGATATTGGTAACGCAACAATTCGGCTGGCCAATCGGAAAACCAATGTGTGCCGGTCACCAAATGTGGCAGGGCGATCGATGACAACGGAAATGTGGTGTCTGTGATGGGTACGAAAGGCAATTGCGGCACCGGATCAGCGAACTCTGTATTCCGTGAGAAGGCATTGAATTGTGGTTGCGGCGTATTGACGGCAGCGATGACGCTTATATGACCCGATTGTGCGCCGAAGGCCATGGCTTGCGATGAGGAGCACACATCGAAACTCAAACACTGACTGCCAGTTGTATTTATTTGATACATTGATACACGTGGTTCGCTCAATTCAACCGTATCTACTAACTGTATTTGCCCGTAACTGGAGACCACAGCCAAACGTGAAGTTTGTGATGGTAGAAATTTTAATAGCTGTGGATCAATTAGAACTTGTATTGGCGATATTGAACGCAACATACGTAGATCATACACCATTAGAAAACGATCGGCGGCCAAGGTGCCTTGTCTGCCGCTATAACCACATGAGATAAGATAATTTCCCTGGACATCGAAATCAGATAAACTGCCAGTATGAGTTTTGATGGTGTGCTCAACATGTAGCGTATTCAAATCACGTAATGTCACCATACCAAATGGATCACCAGCGAACAAAAAACGTGAATTTTTACGTAGAACTGTACAACCTGTTGAACCGACGTGCTCCTGAAAACCACAAAAGAAATATTATTTACATATGTCATGAAAACATAAATTCCTACTTGCACAACTCTACAAAGTTCTTACCACTTTCGTTTCTTTCAATGTACGCAAATCGAATTCGATCATTTCCTCTTGCAGACCGGCCATGACCAGACGATGTGGTGTCAGCAATTGCATACATACCATTTCTGACATACTCTTCGAACGATGTGTGAATTTCGGTATGCCACGACGTATTTGATGTCGCAACGATGTTTGGGTTAATACCAGAATACCCGCATCTATGGTTATAATTTGACGTACTATATCGCTGGCATGTACTTGAAAAGAAGTGTACTTTTGCAATGTGCCGCTGTAGTATGATGTGACGTGGCCCTATATGAGGTATAAAAAACATTTAGAAATGTTTGTTGAGCGAAATTTGTACAACTTTATATGGTTTACCCCTTGATTACCCATCCAGAGCAATTCTTCGTAATCATCAAATGCCAGAGCTGATACACCGAAATTTTCGCCGCCATCTGCCAGTATGGGAACCAGTTCCATGTAGCCTGGGTCCCCGGAGCTAATATTGAAACCATTAAAATTTGGCGAAAAGTGACCCGTGGCGCGTTGGCCGCCGCCATCGTAGACATCTACGTAAGAGCAAGAACAAAATCGTATATAAAATTAAGACGCGATATTAGTAGCGTTATATGAAAAAGCGGTGAAAGTTGCTTCATTTTCACAACAACAAATCAATTGTATATTTTTCTCCCAACACTTACTTAAAATGTCCTCTGACGGTTCAGCGCCACAATAAACATAATCCATAAATTTTCTAACTCACGCAAAAACACTGTTGAATACAAGTCGTGTGCCCACTATAAACGTTCTTATATGTATAACTGGGGTATTATTAGTAGAAATTTCTTAAATTTAAAGTGAATTTGTAAAAATAAAAAGTTGCCCGTCTTTTGTTGCATCCGTGAACCCGAAACCAGAGAATTATTAAGCCTACGTTCTCTGCCGAAACTTTCTCAACAAATTTTCTTTGATTTCCCTTTTTACTGTCTTTCAAATTGGGTTCATTGTTTTTCCAAATATGCTAGTGTTGCCATATCAAAGCATACACATTTTGGTTGTTCCTTACAGGTTCACTGCCAACATTTCGTTAAAATTCTGCCATTTTTTGCTCAAAGCAAAAACTTCTTATATGCTACAATAAATAGAAAATTTATAAAATATTTATAAATAAATCATTTTATAGATATTACAAATATGCGTGTAGCAGGATCAAAATAACGCTCCTTACGTTTACGTGGGCACTCTTTTCCCTTTGTTTTGTTTTCAGATATGGCAAGGTAATGAGTCATATGCAGAAGAAATAAAAACAAATTGAAGAAGTAAATCGAAAAGCACTTACATATATTTTGGTTCTTTCTAATTTTTTGTTGTCATCGAAAGTGAAACGTAAAATAAATTTATTATTGTTGAAAATTAGTACACTTTGAATTTAGCGTATCAAATTTAGTATATAAAATTTCAGTCACTAATGCCAGTTAAGGTATTCCGAAATATGTCGCTGAAAGAAGAAGTCAATCCTGGACAGGGAGAGCGGAATCCAGTTATAATTACCGGTACAACTGCACAAACTGAAACAAATGCTGATGTCAATGATGCTGCGCAGGAACCGCAAGTAACCAGAGAACTGACACAGACAGATCGCATAAATAAGCATTTGCTGAAATCATTTCTCGACCGCATAAATACTAGTGACATCATGGAACAGTTTTCAACAAATACGTCACAAACAACAACAGCTCAAAACGATCATGATGACTTTGAAGAACAATTGTTCATTGGTACCCAAATTATGTAGTTTGTTGGCATGTTTTGTATATTTAAATTGTTTTCCATTGATGTAAAAAATGCAAATGTGTATTTGATAAATAAATTGTGTATGTGCAATTTTGCAACATGTGGTTTATTATCTTATACTTTTAAATTGTTTTCATAATATAATATATTTAAACAATTGATTTGGTAAGCTCTTGAGCATAACTTATTTGTAAAAACAGCAAACAGTGAAAAGTATGAATGTGATATTAAATTAGGATGAACTTAGGAACTACCATAATAAAAGTTATGTAAATATATTTAAATGTAAGTGTATTGAAGGATAAGTTTCAGTACATTTGACGTTGCTCCAGCACTATTCTAATTACATATTATTTGTATTCTAACACAATATTTGATTGGTAGGCTTAAAAACTAATTTTTTTGGTATTTATATGCGTCGCCTCTTATTGCTTTGCACTGGCGGTGGTGTTGTGGATGGACTACTATTCGATTCTAAAGACAGTGAACCACGCGTGCGTTTTGGTGCACGTTTCGGCATATCAGTCAGCTTGGCTGTAATCTTTTTGTCCATCTCCTTTGCATTGTGACTACTGGCATTAGCTTTATGTGCTGAAGTTTTATCTGAATAACAAATATAAATTTTTCAACACAATAATTTTACAAATGTATGTGTGTGAATATAAATAATACCTGAGCTAGCGCTCTTTGTTGTATTATCAGTAGCAACAGCTATAATAGAGGGCGGACCACCACTAGAATCCACACTACTAAGCCGCTGTTTCTCTTCGCTCTCAGCACGTTTTTTTGACAGCAATGCTGAGAACTCGGTCTCCGGCAGTGAAAATTCCCTTTCTTCATTGGGAAATGGCAGCGGTTCCAATTCATCTAATACATCCAAATTGTACATAGTACGTAAATGTGCCCATATTGCTTCGGCTGGTACATCACGTTGTAAATTTTTCGACAAGCGATCAGCAATACATGCCATATAGAAATGCTTATTTATACCGACTGGCTTCAAACCTTCTAATGCGAAAAACAATTGGATTTCTTCTTCGGCCGACCATTCGATTTGTTCACTATCGCTGGGAGGCACCACAGCTAACGATGCCTTTTCCCGCGAAACCGTCATATTGGAAAAATTTCTGCAAGGATTTCACAATATTTCACACAAACACGTTTTTAATTATATTGATCAATGGTCTTGTAGTACACGAATGCCGGCCGAGTTGACAAAACTTGTGCAATTCTCACGCAAACTCGTGTTTTTCTTCTGTTTGTCACCAAAAAAAATGTGCACAAAAGCGCAGAGTCGCATACAGCTGTTTTGCGTGCAGTGTATGTGGATTTGCAGCAAACGTTTTGTTTACAGTGCTAGTCAAATGTTTTTACGCAACCTTTTGAAAAAATTGTTGAATAATTGCTTATACGATGGAGCGTTGCTCTGTTAAAGAAAAAAAAAATTAACTACAAGTGCTTGAAAAACATTTAAAGATTTTTCTTTTAATTTTTCAATGTTATTACAACATAAAATTGAAAGTTATGTTGATGAAATTGTAGCACCAGCTGCAGGAAAGTGCATTTGTTTGCTAGCAAGCTAATGAAATCTGAAGCAAATTAATTAGATTTATTAACATTAAACTTCATTATGTTAAGCATAAACTGTTATTCAGGCAGCTGCGCTATAAATTTCGTGTTACTATTTATTTTTTCGCTGCTGTACACCATTTGTATGCCTGTGTTTGTACTGTTTGGAAAATGCGCACAAAAACAAGCAGGCACTAAAAGTAAGTAGCAAAACAAAAACAAGGAAAACTCGTATATAGACACGTGTGCATGTGTGAGTTGCACGAGTTGCCATCAACTGCGCAGCTGTCGCTTTTGGCTCACCCCGCTCACTGCCACACACCGCTTAATTGAACATTTCGCGACACCAATTCTCAACTCTGCTGGCGCATAGACAAAGGACACGAACAGATGATAGCAAATCGGTGCGTCTTGGATAACTGCCGAATGCGCTAAGTGCAGTTGAGTATTGACTTTTTCCCGTGTCGGACGTATTGAAACAGTGAAGCGCATCAAACAGCGGCGTTACAAGAAAAAAATTCAGCAATTACACAAGAGTCCTTCTCGTTGGATATAAAAATCGCAGAGAACTTATCAATATCGTTTTTTTTATCACTATATTGCATGTTTTGCATAATTGCTGCAATAAATACATAATAAACCGAGAGAGCTTTGCAAAAAATCGATGATTACAGGCTTTTTGCCGTTTGTGGCAAACATTTGAAGGAATTTTTAAAAGAGCATTGCACAATACAATTAACTACAAGTAGCGCTGGGCAAAAGCGTAGTCGCATGTAATTCCACGCATTCAACGGAAGAACTTTGCTAACTATTTGTACACTTTCAGCAAAATATTCAAGCAAGTAATAGAAATTGATGCCTATTTAACACGGTAAAAGCAAATTAATTCCATAACGTGCCGCGCGTGGAGTGCGGCAGAAGGGAAAATATCGATTTGTAACATAAAACATATATGTACGTTTGGCAGCCAGCAACAACAAAGCATAGTGCAGCTATACGGCAAGCGCGGATCGGGAACTAACAGCGAAGCCTTGCTACGAGTTGTCACGAAAGGACTAAGCTAAACGGTGAAGTGAACTGGAACGACAAGCAATTGCAAAAACAAACAAGCAAATACAGTGAACTTTAGTGTAACTATTATTTATAGTAGAGAAGGCAATAGTTACAGCTGTTGACAGCTTGGTGAGTGGCGTATCCAGTGCTTCCGGTAGAGCGTTGACAACGCACGGGTCATACCGTTACTTAAAGCGAAAAAACACACTGCGGCAGATAAAGAGTGCGGCAGTTAGAGAGTGCGGAAATTGCAAAGCAAAACGTGAGCGTGCAATTGAGAGCAAACCGTTACTGAGCAAGAGCGCACAACTACACTGACAGCTGAAACACTTTGAAGCGCATCCTTAAACGAAATATTTCTTTTTTACTGTTAATTAGTGTGCATCAACTATCCTACAATTTACTACGACACTTTACGTGTACGCCGCTGTGACAGTACGCGCTGTCGTATACGTAACCAATTTGGTAACGCGCTCACCTTGACTCACATTCACTCATTATAAGCAGTGGCTCTGGTACGCTGTACGTCGACTACTTGAACACATAAATTCTATGCCAAAACCAGCAAAATGTTGCCATAAATTGTACGCACACGGGTTAACTTGGCCAAGCGCAAGTTGCATTTTCGCGCCGATATTCTTAAATTTTTTTTAAATTGTTACATTTACATACATGCAAATAATTGCAATAAAACAAAAATAAACACCACGTACTAAAAGTAACTAAAAATAACGTGAAAAATCTGTGCCAAAGGCTGCGCCTAAAACGTAAATATTTTTTTACTAATAAACAAACGATTTTGTTTATAAGCGTTACTTACATTGTTTTCTTGCCTCTTTTTTGTTCTTTTATACATTTTGTGCAATTTTACAAACTTCGCATGGTTGTGTGTTTGTTGGTCGGTGAGACTCGTCTATTAGCCATTGCAACAGCAGCTGTAACAGCAACTATAACAACAACACTAGCAGCAGATTTACGCCGTTGCCGTTGTTGTTGCTGGTGTCGGTGTCGGCATCGTACGCTGCTTGGTGCCGTCGCTCGCTTCGTAAGTCAAAGTAAAAATTCCGCCGACGTTGGTCCTGTCGCAACTATTCGCTTGCATCAAAAAAAGCCGATTTAAACCAATGCATTTAGGTTTCAAACGTGCAAAACGCCAAAACCAAAAACGTTTTTCGATTAGTAAAAAATGTCTTTGCCCCGAGAATGGAATTTTCCGGTGAGTACCTACACATAATTGCAGCGTTGCTAATTATGCATTAAAAAAGATTGCATTAATATTGTTTTTAAATTAAATAACAACAAAAAAAAATTATTATCAAATTTCTGGTGTCAATTATCGGAATGTAATTAAAATTATTATTTTTTTAATAAATTT